CTGTTTGTTCTGAAACACATGGCCGTGCTAGATGTGCCCATGAGGATATGGATATGATTCTGTCTACTTTAACCCCCTGTTACCTGTAGGCCTAATAGGCTAGCCGCTGTAAGACACAAGAAACATTAATTTTCATTATGAAATTGTGTTTTGTAGCTCTTGGAGACCGGCAGCAATAGGAAACAAGATAAAACAAGAGAAATAAACAAGAGAAATATGAGACCGCATCCTCTACCTATACAATAAATAAAGGCACTTGGATGAAGCAGGTAAACATTGTCCTCATTGTCCCACAGTGGTGTCATCAGCTAGCCCATTCAGGCCGGTTATTTTTATGCACAGACTTGGAATTGGTTAAGTAAACAATTAATAAAATGAGAAACGAAGACGTAAGTAGGTAAATATTGTACTGTCGGCTTTGTAAGTACTAAAATCCCTGAACACAGACATCAAATATAAAATAATCAAACTAATGTTCAAAATTAAAACAAAGCTCTCAAATGTGTGAAACAAGTTCTTCAGTCCATGCTGACATGACTCAGATCAGGCCTGGATCAGGGTTTACTTTTGAAACTGATTCATATGGAAACTGTACTGTCGAAGCCTTGTACTCAATGCAGTGCAAACAATGCAGCGCATGCCAGTGCAGCACCTCTCCAACCACAACCACAACCTGAGGAAGATACAGTGAAACTCTTCTGTTCTTTCCTTCAAAGTGTGATTTGCTCCATATGTAATAAAGGTTTTGAATTGTCCCTGATGTAACCCACAAGTGGTTTCTATTTCTGTAATGTAACTAACCATTATAACAAGTGTAGGCCTACAGCTGCACAGCTCTCTGAGGCTGTACTCAATGCTAATGTCAGCAACATGCAAACATTTGCACAAAGACGATGGTAACATGCGGATGTTTAAAGGTTCTGTAAATGAGATTTTAAACAATTATACAGCAGCAAACAACTATTTTCTATGTAAACACAGGAATATCCAGAAATACTCGGATGACACAGCTATTATGGCGCGTATCAGGAACGGGCAGGAAGAGGAGTACAGGGATCTGACGATGGCATTCAGCAAATGGAGCGACAAGAACTGCCTCCTTCTGAACACCTCCAACACCAAGGAGATGGTCATGGACTTTTGGAGGTCTAGGCCCACCCCTCAGCCAGTCAACATTGGAGGGAAGGACATTGAGGTGGTTTGGTTATAAATACCTGGGTGTGCACCTGGACAGTAAACTGGACTGGTCCCTGAACACTGATGCCATCTACCTGAAGGGGCAGAGCCGGCTCTTTTTCCTCAAGAAGCTCAGGTCCTTTGACGTCTGCAGTGAAATGCTGCACATGTTTTATCAGTCAGTTGTGGCCAGTGTACTCTTTTATGCTGCAGTCTGCTGGGGCAGCAGCATGTCCAGCAAGAGACTGGACAAGCTGGTAAAAAAGGCTGGGTCTGTGCTTGGCAGGAGTATTGACTCACTCAGGACTGTTGTGGAGAAACACATGCAATGTAAGATGGAGGCCATCTTGGACAATACCAACCATCTTCTCCACAACATTCTGGCAGGACAGAGAAGCAGCTACAGCTGCAGCAAACCTCTCATCTCACTGCGCTGCAGAACAGAGAGGTTCAGGAGATCCTTTTGTTCCCACTGCCATCAAGCTATACAAAACCTCAGCCAAAGGAAGTGGACTAATCTAATTATTATTGTTCATTTATTATTAACTGTTTTTTATTATTATCAACAATGAGCTAATGGACACATGAATTTCCCCTAGGGGATAAATAAAGTATCTATCTATCTATCTATCTATCTATCTATCTATCTATCTATCTATCTATCTATCTATCTATCTATCTATCTATCTATCTATCTATCTATCTAACAGGAGTTTGTTGATGTGAAACCACTTCATGTGTGAGGATGCTTATGCAGAGTAGCTTGCTGTAGTTTTGCTGTAGTTCATCTGCTCCCAGTGAAAAGTGGCTTGTAGCTTCATTAGCTACAGTTTCTCGGAACCAGAAAGACAAACATATATACAGTAGATGAAAAGTCAGAAGATCAGTGGGGTAAATGGTCTACAGACACTCATGTCTGCACCAAATTCATCATGGCATAAAAGCCGTCTACATTCAACATGGACATTTTGAGAAAAACAACTAGTTTTATTTTCATTCTTGCATTTCAAATCATCTTTGACATCAGATATTACAGCATGTAGAAATATACTTTGATGACTGTACCACATGAAATACAGCTTGTATATGTAAAGCTGAATGTCATCATTATTTACATCATCATTATTTACAGTCTGTGTGCGCACTATCAGCATCACTGACATCTTCACTGCTCAGATCAATGGTTAAAATACATCATTACAGACAAACCTACAGCAGATATTTACAAATGGTCACGTTGTTTTCACAGTTTATACATCTGTGCCTCACATTGTAGATATTAGTCAATTCAGAAAAGTCAAATTAGCCACACACTGCTACCACACAGAGAGAACATGAGACTAAACCGGGAGTCAAGACCGATTCTATACCTCAGCACACAATATATGTCATGAGAGTTTAGTGGACAGTGGAAACAGGACCTATGAGCATGTCTCATTAAGAAACATGACACTGAGATGAAAAGCTCAATGAAAACAGAGGGAGAAGCAGGTACTGTGTTCATTTACACAGTTACACAGTTATCCTGTGCTGCCAACAGCATCTCACATTACTGAGTATGTAAATTCATCCCCAGCCTCAGACTGTCCTGTACAGAGCTACGTCTGACATTTCAACTTGGTCATGTAGAACAGTGACATCATGAATAGAAAAATCTCTTAAAGGGTCTGTCCACCCAAATTACAAAAACATGCTTTCTTACTTAACTCCCGTATCTACAACTATCCTCACAAAAGCTTCAGCATTAATCATAAACTGTGTTAACAGGGAAGTGGAGGAAGTGTCAGGAGCAAAGATGAGGCAGGGTGAGGCTGTTAAAGTGACTACAGCTAACTTCCTGTTTCCTACTGACAGTCGTTCGTTCGTTTCCTTTAACCATAACCACCGTTACCAAACCAAACTAAACTGTTGTGAGCCTGAATCCTAACAAACCTTACACAGAGCAGGCAGACCACAAAACACTGATCCTTTTGTGTGAATCCTTTTGTGATGCTTAAAAACTAATTTGTTGGGTTGAAGGACCTACTGATTTCAATCCTGGTTGCTATGGTGACACCCATAGCCGTCATTGGCACAATAAGTGTGGTTTAATACTATAGAAAACACTCGTTGAGAAGCTACTTTGGTAGTATAAGAGAAGAGCAGCCGGTGGATCTCTGTACACTGCAGCCAAACAAAATCTCCGTGTATCACAATAAATCCACCCTGCATGTTTTTAATGTGAAGAAGCAGCAGAAGGAAACATAATGTTAGAATGAGCAGAAGCTTCATGATGTGGCAGCAGGAGAGTTAACACTGAGGTTACCAAATAAAACTGAGCTCAATTACATACATGCATTATTTCCTGTCAATCTGAAACCAGAGCTGCCGCTGTCAATAAAACATAACTACTGACTCTACTGTCAAAAATTATAACTTTAAATGCTGGTTTTGTAGTTCAATCAAGTGAAACTGGACCGGCGTGGTATGGTTGCTTCATTTGCTACTGCTTATGTGCATCCAACATCCTTCTGAGCACCAAAGCTTAAATTCAGAGCTGAAATACTGCATTTCTACAGCCCCAGTGAAGAAGGCTTTATTCTATTTTTTATTCTATTTATCTTTTCTTTGAGCAAGAGCTCAAAAGTGGAGTTTTGATAAGTGTTTAGATCAGGAAAACTTTAACTTAAACTATTACAGTTCTTTAAATGCTGAGGAAAGAAATTCTCCTTTAGCATAGGAAAAAGTGGACCATCCTTTACAAAAGGAAAGGAGATAATTCTGCTCCACAGTTCCTCAATTCCTTGCAGCAACATTTATGGTACAAGTCCTTATGAACTCTCCTTTACATCTTTCCTTTACCTCGTGACGCTTTCCACTGAGGTCAAAGGAAAAGTGGTTAGGAAAGGAGATAGGACATTCATCCAAAGCCCTAACTGCAACAACAGTAGTTCCATCTGAGCAGTATTTAATGCATCAAAAGTCTGATTCACAACATGAAACTCAGAAAGCAAAAAGCCCATGGTGTTAACTCTATTATTAGATATAGAGAAGTTGGGCACATGTTGTAGTTTCATTTTCTGCCATGAAAACCCTCTCACTGAAACTGTATCAGTAATTCTTTTTGTCAACAGAATCCCCACAAAAAGCTGCTGTGTTTTCACGTGAGAAGTGAAACACTGCATGAAACCTCATGTCAGCTCAGAACATGTTTGTTTCTGGCTGTGGAGGAAATGAGTGAGGTGTTGAAACAAACTGAACTTGTAAAAGGAGGCAGTATGATGAAGTATGAAATTATCAACTAATCCTGGGATTAAACTAACACATCTGGTGGCTAACCTGGTAGAGAGCGGACCACATGCCTAGTCCTAACCGCCAGCGACCAGGGTTTGAGTCTGACCCATGGCCCTTTGCTGCATCTCTTCCCCTCTCTCTCTCACCCTGACTTTCCTGTCTCTCTCTGTGCTATCAGAATAAAGGCAAAAAAATGCAAACACACCTAACACTTGTGGCAAAGAGTCGCACAGAGACAGATTGCTGTGCAGCTTTACACCAGGCTGGTAGTTTTTAGCATGACCGCAACAGCCAGACCAGCCGTATAATCTGGAATGTCACTGACTGACTGACTGACTGAGTGATGATATTTCCACTACTGGTCAGTGGATTGCCGAGCCACAGTCTATTAAGCCTCTCTGCCTTCCGGCTGCTCAGGAACTGCAGGGAAGAGGAGTTTTAAAAAAGAACTTTAAAAAAAAACAATGAAGGTATTGTGTCTTTTCTAACTTTTTCTCTGAGTGATTATTGAAGTGGGATTACTAGGTTTAGATCTGGTCTTGTTTTTTATTTAAAATTTAAGATATTTTATTGACAATCTTGAGCTGTGGAGTCCCTAAATGATCCATACTTGACTCCCTAATAATGAATCTAAACATGGTCCTGTTCCTTGTTTTCACTGGCTGACTTTGGTTCTCTTGACTCACTTTAATGACTGGATGTGCTTAAATCATTTCTTGTTAAATTAAGTGTGCGACGTGTGATGATTCAGAAACAGTAAGTTAAATCGGTGCAGCTTTGTTTTGCGTCAGTCCCTAAAAATACTGTCACAGAAATTGAAGTTTAGATGTGATGTAAATCTGATGTTCAATACAGTCTGTCTTCAAAAAACCATACCGAGAAAAAACAAGGTTTTTTGATTCAAATGTCAAAACGTCACATACAAATATGTAAATTGAATACAAACCTCATGTATCAGCTGCTCTGTACTGCAATGTACCAGTTTAATATCTTTCTCATACAGCATCGAGGTTAAATATTACAAACCAACAGATTCCAAGCAGCTGGACTACTGCATTGAATTTCTGGTGTTTATCCGTCTTCTCCAGAAGAAAATGAAACACCCAGACATAACATTAAACACATGAAGGTGTTTCAATGAATGCTTTTAGTTCAATGTAATTCACAGTCAATGACAGCAGCTTATCGTTCTCTTCAGCCCTGAATCCAAAGGCCTGGGTTCATCCACAGTGAGGGGGTTTCTCATGAACACACAATTATGTACAATGACGTGTCAGTCTCTCTGAACGGAGACTGGTATCGATATAAAAACCACCATCAAACACTTCACAAGAAGAGCCACAGTGACAAAGCTCATCATGTCATGGATACAACCAGTAAGTCAGTCATCAACTGTCACCACTTGTTATGAAGTCCGTGTGTTTGTCCAGCCTATTAAAACAATATTGTAAGGTACAGATATGATAAATGCTGTGTCACATCAGATTGGAAAAGCAGTTTCTCATTTCTAGTTTATTTTGGCGGCTAAAAATGACAAATGTGGCTAAAAGATTTCATCAGGGTTTTCTGATTCATGATATGATCTCATGATGAGATGGCTCACTGATAATGACTTTAAAGTGTTTCTAACTGACTTGTTTGACAATGAGGCATCTTGAATCTGCGCTTGAAGGCTACATACATGATATCATGCTAAAAGATGCAGGCTAAATCTACACAAACACCATATATAAAAAAACACCCCCTTCCTAATACTTTGTATGGAAAATATCGCTCTTAATAAACGCAGTGTTAACTATAACGCGAGCAGCAAAGGTAAGCATGTTTGGCTAACTAGCTTACTACATACAGAAGTAATGTAGCGTTACATCCAAGGTTAAGTGTATTTGCTAACAGTAACTTTCGGCGAGACACAAAAATTCATTTTGACTGCCCAGACAAGGACGCTGTTGAAGTTAGTGGGCACTCTGACGTAGATGCAACTAGCAAGTTTGTTCAGAATGCTAGGTCTTACAAACTTAATCTAAAGGGCAAATGAAACTGACATGTCAACCTGTATCTTTGTGCCAACTGACTACAAGTAGTGTATATGTAAGCCACATGAAATCGTTTAAATTATCGACATTAACGTTACCGCATCAAATTGTCAACACGTTCTGCATGCTAGGGCGCTAGTTAGCATGAAATTCCCTCCTATTATCTTAAAATACATTATAGGCTTCACTTCATCAAACACCTTTGTCCATGTGCTATTATTTTTTATTTAAGTCCCAGAGCAAACGGACACGTCGTAAAGGAGGGAAACCCACCACCGCAATTATCAACTTCTCCTCTGTTGTGCTCGTGAACAAATACTTGATGGGAAACAATTAAACAGTTGTGTTCTCTAGAGTGGAGCAGTAGGGAATGCTCTTACTCTGATTGGTTGCTGCCGAACCATGTCATAGCTCATTACCATAAAGTTGTCTAGACTTCAACTTTTTCTGACATCCACACTGCCCAGGGCGCGCCGCTAAGGGGCATGCTGCTGCTCCATGCCAAGAGACATAGACATAGAAAATGACTGACTTCCTGTCACTTTGATGTTCTCGTTGCTTTCGGTCTGAACGTACAGTGAGAGTCATTTGTTAATTTGAGGGGTTGCATTCAGGACTGCAATATACAGTGTGGCGGCCGGTCCTGGATGCAGCTATATCAAAGTTTAGGCTAATGTTAGCAGCTATTAGTGCAGGTTTATCCGAGATAGCAGGAGACACCAAACTCCCTGGTTAGTTTTCATCCTCAAGGCCTTTTCCCCTGTAGCAGTAAATCATAGTGGTTATAGTGACCTATAAATCATATCTATGTTAGAAAAAAATAACTGTTTGATTTCATATTTTCTGTATGATACTGCACAACAATCCTTGGGCTTACTAGCTAACCTGCAGTACAAGAACAATACTGCTCCCTTATTTCCAGGTCTTCTTACATGGATCATCAGTTGGTGGAGATACAGACTTTTTCCCTTTAGCTGCAGTGTTTTAGCACAGTGACATGTATGTATCCATCATGTGCATATGATGTACGGGGTTCTCATCTTCAACAAGCTCATGGATGTAACCTTAATGCTAACTTGATTAGAAAATAAATCGTTAAATAAAGTCAGCTGCCAAAAATGAGAAGCTGCTTTTGTCTCACCATTGACTGATGGTGAATCTGCCACCATTACTCTATGTGCAGTGTTACAATGGAAAAACCTGACAGGTTGTAGCTGCAGCTGACTGACTGAAGGGTTGATTCTGAGCCATTTTCTTCTCAAACTCTGAATGGCACACGATGAACCACTGGCAGATGACAGAGGCAACATTTTATAATAAACAATGTGATGTATCTACAGCAGAAAAATAAGGTTGATCAAATCTGAAGGAGGGACAGAGGTGGAGATGTCAAGCCTCACTGGTCATCATCCAGCCTCTGCTGATTAGTGGTGTGAGTTTTGGAGTCAGACTCTGATTTATTCTCAAACAGGGTTTTGAACTTCATTTTCTCCATCTCCATGTAGCAATTATCGTCACTACTGCCCCCACCTCACTGCTGTTCACCACCACTTCACTTGTAGAGCAGCTGTAACCGGCTGGTGTGGCAGTTATTTCTGCTAATCTTGCTGTCCGGCTGGTAGAGGCTGGATGAGTTGGCAAAGGACGGAGGGACAGGGTGGGGGTCAGAGGTGGGGGCGGGGTATCCTGGAGGAGGGGCAAGGGACCTGGGGTCGCTGTGGGGGACGGTGAGAGGCGGGGGGCTGTGGTTCTGATTGGTGACAGTGGAGGCTCTTCTCCTCGATCGCAGGGCCTGTCGCTCAGATAGCTGGTTCCTCAGCTCCGACACACGCTCTTCTTTCTACGGAGACAAATGGGAACAATGATTCACTGATCAACCGATCAACAGACTGTTTCATTTGACAGGAGCTGTCTGGAAACACTGAACCATGGGGATGAGCAAGCTCCCAGACTTCTGTCAGGTTAAATATATGGCTTATCCACTTCACAAAAAACATTTGCTCACATTCATCTAGTGGATCCCATTTAGTCTCATATACCCAGATTGTGAGATATTTGTCTCTGAGATAGCAAAATAAATCTGGCTCATACTCGGGCCGCATGCTTTTTTTCTTCTGGCCCAGTGTACGGCCCGAATCTGACCCATATGCAGCATGATTGTCAGATGCTACTTCCACATCTGGACCAATTCTAGCGTGCACACAGAAAATCTTCCGGTTGTCAGTCAAAACCGGAGAATATATGGGCCAGACTTCCCACATAACAATAGAAGTACAGGGACTTGAATGTGTGCAAAGTAAAGTTTTTTCTTGACCTTCAACATTTGACAAAAAACAAACATAGTCTTCCAGAACGTCTTTCAACCATCTTACGGGATTCCTCAGTCGAAAGTGTTTGCTAGGTTGTCTTGGAGACGCCTCAGCTGTGACAAGAACTGAGCTAACTCTGTCTGCTGAGGAAGGCTGTGATATGAGGTTTGAAAGCTCTGGAATAAAAAAAAAAGAAGACACGGCTGACCTCCTGGATGATCTTCTGCAGCTCCTTGTTCTCTCTCTCCAGCTGTCTGGACTTTTCCTCGTCATTGTTGTTGGTGGAGGAGCCAGTCTTCATGGTCTCCTGGGCGTCTGACTGCCACTCCCCACGTGTGATCAGACGCCGCATCTGTAGATCACACACACGTTTTCCTTAGTATACTACAGGAGTTCATCAGGCCTCAGTTTTCAGGCTGTGCCCTTTAGAGCAGGAATTATGGTTTTTCTTTGAACCTCAGTCCTGTGAAAAATCAGGTTGGGTATTTTATCAATTCCAAAATGGTTAAAGAGGTCAGAAAACGTTTAGAAAACAAAAAATACCCAAATGGTACCACTTCACAATAAGACTACAATTATAAAGGATTTATCAATGGTTTATAATTCGGTCATTAATTATGTTGTTAACACTTCATAAATCATAAATAAACAATTATAAACAAGTTGTTTATAGGTATAAGGTTTATTCATTTACACAAATGAGTCTCTCTTGATTGAAATAAAATTGAATTGAAGTGAATTGGGATTATAATGAGGAAGGCTGCTGAGAACATGTCAAGGTCAACAACACTGCCACGGCCTCAGAGGATGAATCTGCTTTGATATGATCATGTGATCTGCCATAATTTTATCTGTCAAATGAAACTTTCTGACCATTAAGATGCTGATGCTGGTTCATTGATAGTAACTGAACAAACGTGATGAAGCAGCAGCTACAAATGCTGATGATGGAGAACTAATGAGATCTGAGGCTGAACAGTACAGAGACATGTGGGCTCATTATTTGGCAAGCAACAGGTCACTCTTTTTATCTAATGTGTTATAACAGCTTATAAATGATTTATAAAGTGTTAACATACTCATTAAAAAACAGTTATTAACCATCCATGAATACTTTATAAGGGGGGTCTTATTGTGAAGTGGTACCTTACACCTTTAACTATCAAATAAGGATGTAGTGTTTGCGTGTCCACATTCTTTTGGCCAAGAAAGCTTTCCTCTCTGCAAAATATTGAACAGTCAAAATGGTTTCCAGAGGAGTGGATCGATACACACAGATTCAGCCGGTGCTGACAGAGACCCGAGCAGGAATTGATGCTGACACAGCACGGCAGGTCCATTCCACAGGTCATTATGTGATATATTACACCAGCCCACATGACTTAGATCACTGATGAAAGGCAATTCATTACGTCTGACACTTAAACTGCTGCTGTAATCTGCAGGGAGGAGATGACGAGAGTGGGACAGCGCACTCTCTGGTTTTACCTTGGGGACGAACAGAACCACCAGCGTGATGTAGACCGAGAAGACGATGGCCAAGGAGGCGAAGGCGAAAGAGGCGTCCTGCTGGGAGGACAGGATCATGGTGACTGGCGCCGTGATCATACACAGCACCTGAGGAAACAACATGTTTAGGTCTTTCATTACAGAAGAAGAAACACGTGGACTTATAATAAATAAATGAATACAGGTTCCCCGCAGAGTGAGCTGACCTGTTAGTATCTGGCCTGTAGCTGAGGGAATTCTGGGAATAAAAGCTTCAGCCCCTCTCTTCATGTCTTCTTTCAGTTATAGAAAGTAAATACTGTATTTCCTTATTTTTGTCACAAAGAACTGTTTGTTTATCCAGTGAATTCAAGGACATAAATTTAGGGTTCAAAACACTGGACAAAAAAACCTGCTAAGACCCGCTAACATCAGGCTTTTGTTAGCGATGTGAAAGGGTACAATCAGCTTTCACTCCCTGGTCATATGACTCTGCAGTAGACTCCGGTATTTATGTATTTATCCTTCCTCCTTTTAGCGTGTTTAAAAGAACCTGCTAACCTTGGTGCAAAACAGGAGTTAGACACAGGGCAGGAGTTAACCACCTTTTTGGCTGGAACTCCTGCAAGTCAGTGAGTGAGAGATGAAGTTACACCATTGGTCGGTCGAGCATTGGAATTTTCCCATCGGCTATTGTTCCTTCAAAATGATTACGCGTGAACAGTTTTTATGACATCATCAGGGGGCGTTTACAGTGGATCCACAACACAATCAGATACTGTGCTTCCTCTAAATGTGTTTGTGGGGTGGGGGGGTGGGTGGGGGGGGGTAGAATTGTACTGTACTTGTTTGCCCCGTTAAACTCACTGCATCATTTTTCACACCATCCGGCCAGGTTAGATAGATAAACCAGGTTTATACCTCGTCTACGCTAAAGTTCAGTTCAGACATTCATGTGTGGGAACATGATGACATTTCTCACTTTGTTCAGTTTGACCTCCTAATAAAGTGGTTTAGATTACAGCTGAAACGATTAGTTCATCAATAAATGTGTTGATCAACAGAGAATTAACCAGATACTATATAAATAGAGATCTGACACTACAACAGTCATCATCCTCATTATTATTATTATTGTTATTGCTATTATTATTATTATTATTATTATTATCATTGATAATACCATTACCTATGGGTTATACTATTACTATTTTGACTGTCAGCTACAGCTTTAGTTTAGAGGCTTCCAATCGTCTGACTGCTCATGCTTCTTGACCTGTTGAACATAATGTGACTGTGTTCACTGTTACCATGGAGATAATAACAAAAAAACTATGAGAGAATATCTTGTAAAGACTCTTCTGGGAATTGTTATTTAAAGGTAAAGCTTTAGACAGAACCATCAATGACCTTCAGCTGAACCATGCTGCCCTCTAGTGGTTCTTCTTGTGCATGTATCTATATTATTTTGTATCACCAGCATTATGCTTCTTTATTTCTAGTTTTGTTTAAATGATATTTACTTACTATAGCGTTATCTAACCATGCAAACAGTTGTGGTTTATTTGAAATATCTCCACCCCGACACAATGGAGACTAATGGCATTTAATTTGTGGTAGCCACAGCACCTTATCAGTAAAATATAGAACACAGGTCTAGTTGTTTTTAGACATTTTAATGTGGAAAAGTTACAGATTAGAACTTTAAAGAGCACATTTACTAGTCGAACACTGAGAGCCAATCAGCTGTGAGATACTGCTCTATCTGACACAGCTAAAAAACTGGAAGATAGATTTCATATTCACCCAAAGTTACCAGCCTGATGTATGAAGACGAAAACTACAGACATTCTCTGTATAACTTAATAACAAAATAAAATTATTTTGGTTTTGTAAACACACAACACAATTTCAGTTGTTATTGTTTTTTTTTCTTATAAAGCCTCGCTTTTTATTTTTCTATCAGTTAATGAAAATGTTTTTTCACATCTAGTCTTCATTATTTGGTTAGCTCTAGTTAACGGTTACCATGACACTGATCACACTGTGAGGGAACTACCTCTCCTCCCAGCCACCAGCTACTAACAGACACACAGACAGGTGTGTGCAACACTGTACAGCATCAACAACTACTGTGTTGCCTAGCAATGTAGTGTTTTGTCTGCTTGTGTCAGTTGTGGAGTTTATGTTGTCCCTGCTTTATTCTGCTGGTAATAGTGCAGCAGATGATTGCATTTTGTGACTAAAGCATGAAACTTTCTCCAGTGTTTCTATAAACCATGAAGTTTCTTTTCAGATGTGGAGACATTTCAGATGTGACCTCCGGGACAGAACAGAGCTCCCTGGAGTAATGAGTGCGGTCCAGACCAAACTAGCATGTTAGCTTCTGATTAGAGTATTCACTAATGTGCTAGCTAGTCATGTAACTCCATAGAACGCACAGCAGAAGTTGTCAATGTTGTTAGCAAGCTACAGCTACCTTAAGACCTGGGAATGGTGTGGTCTACAGTCCCCTGGCAAATATGGTGCTCTGAGCAAAATTATGTTACATGGCCACAGCAGCAAATAAGCATCTTCATTAGAACAAAAATGCATATTTGGCAAAGACATACATGATTAGAATGGAGAAATGGGGCTAAAACTGGAAAAATGCAATGCTGAGGTCAATGACCTCTCAAGGTCACCAGAGGTCAGATATAAATCGCCCTCATGTCTGAAATAAAGCCTTAAATAAAGGGGCATGTAGAATATATGCTGAAGCTTTCATGCTTTAGTCATAAAATGCACAGTTGGTTTGCATCTGTGCTCCACTAATAAAAAGCAGCAGCTTTTTGATTTATGGATCTTCATATTGCTAAATAAAGTCTGCGGGCTCCTGCTGTGTCCTGGTGTCTAGGCTAAGGTCCCTAGGCTAAAGAAGGTAGGCTAAAGAACAAATACACCTCTGTATAATGTAACACAGCTCAACAGCTCCACATTCTACACCCTCCACAATGATCACACAGTTGAATCAACAACTTAGTTTCAGGTGTTCCTAATAAACTGCCAACTGAATGTGTATTGTAATTTTACCAGTTGTGTCCACAGGCAGCAAAGAGCCTGGCTGGAATTTATTGGTTAATTTCGATGCACCTGCTCATCTGGGAGCGGTGTAATGAAACACCAATACACACCTGTAGCCTCAAGAGGATCTTTAATTTAATTGTTTTATCATATGTTATTGTTATCACCATATTTTAACCCCACTTTAACATTGTAACACAAGTAATTTTACTGCTACTTTAGTCAAATTTATTTTCAGTAACAGTATTTAAACGTGAATTTTCCAGTTCTCTTTCCACCCCTCTTCATTTGTCTTCATTAGAATCAGAGGTCGAACAAGAGTGAGAGAGAGAGGTGGCGGCGAGACAGGAGAAAGAAGGAGAGAGAGAGATGATGCAGGGAGGAGATGAATCAGACAGAGTGAGCGAGGGCGGAGGAGTGAGGGATGGAGCGACTGAGCACGGCATCAGATAAAACAGGAGAGAGGTGGAGGTGAAGGTGGAAATCGATGTATATTGATCAACAGTCAGTCATCTCTGTGCAGAAGCTGAAAAATCCCATCCACCCCAGCAGCAGCCGCATTTTCTCTGCTGTGTCATTACTTACACACAGCGACGCACAAACACAATCCTGCCCTCCGCTCACACACAACTCGTCTGATTCATTTCAGCCACCTCACTGGAACAAATTGCATTTCTGTGCACCGGGGTCTCCGGGGGGGGAGAGTGAACCGCTGTCATTCACCTGGAGACAGACTGTTTCCACACCAGTGTTAATTTCATGAATGAAAACTGTGATGAAAAATATTTTTCACCATAAAAAGGCAGACAAAAAGAAACCTTTGAAAATCAGGGCCATGATGAAATGTATTACGTTTTTGTTCAGCGAATACAAATGAAACAATAAAGATCTCCGAATCAGTAAAGCAGTTTGTTCAGAGGATGAATTAGTCGTTTGACCTGCTGCACTTGGAAGAGTCCTGTTCCTGGAGGAGACAGATTCATGGGATAAATTCATCTACAATCCAATGAGCAGCAACAAAACAGCTGAGACAGTCTACGGAACCGTGCAGGCAGCACACATGAAGCTGAGCTCATGGTGGAGGTAACATGAATGTTACCTTCAGTCAGCTGCTGTCAGGAGGAGTGAGTAAGTTCCAGGATTGATGCGGGTCCATCTAAACCGTCCTCTAGAGTCCTCTACAGTACTGATGTTATCTGACCAGACAGCGTCTCCTCTCTAACTAAACCCACGAAATGAACAGTCAACAGGTGAGTGACTCCAGCTTGTGAAGGACTCACTGCTCCACAGAGAAAAGCACAGGTAGCTGCAGTAAAGCCAGGTTATGATAAGTGGCGCAGCCTCCAAACGCACTGAAGACATAAAGGTTACAGCATAGCCACAACAGAGAAAAAACTAGAGACAGTTAGTTATTTAGATGACTTTTACAAAACTACAGGGAGACAATAGTGGTTTGTAACAATATAGCAAGGAAGGCAACGTTACCCGGCGTAACATTTTGAAGTATGCATCCAACCAAATAAATCCACTGTGCTTGCAAACTTGTGTTTTTGGTCTTTGTGGCTATAAAATCTGGGATGGTGGAATTAATGGGACAGATATGTCTGTCACTACTGACTGAAAAAAACACCCTCCCAGACAAAAATAAGATAAAATATATACGATGTCAAACAAAAAGAATGAGGTGAAACTAAGGAGCAATTTAGACTAATTAACTATTTTAGTGCTGCTAAAGTAAAAAGGAATAACCTGCTAAACTTGTGGTATAGTGCAGTGGTTACCAATCCTTGGGCAGGGGCCAAAGGTATTACAAGTGGGCCAACACATAATTTGCAAAACAGGATGTTTTAAAACAATTAAGGTCACTGTGATAAGACAATGATAAGAAATTTTATGTTGTTGCTGGCTGGACCACATCATATACTTGTATCTCAGTCTGATTGTGCACTAACAGATCACATCCACTGCAAAAACTGGAGAGCCAAAATGGATAACTGGTTAGGAAGGTGAGAGGAAGAGGAAGAGAAAATTACCATTCAATTAAAAAGTGCTCTAGATAGGGTTGC